TTTTATGGTTTTTTTTTTATTCTTTGATTTTGTTTTGTTGTTTTGTTGATTTTTATTTGAATTTGAATTTTCCTAAATCCAGGTATTTGATTCATTTCACAAACCCAAATCTCATGTTTTTAAATTTTGGTTTCTGAGTTTTCAGATGGTTTTCCAATTAAATAAAAGCACAGAAAAATACCTATATGATGGTTACATTATTTTATAAAAATAGTCAAAACTTTTCATAAAGTATTGAAACCAGGAAAAATGTTTCCAAAATTGCATACATATACTTCTGTAAATCTTTTTTTTTACTCTTCAAAGTGATGTGAGAATGGGGTGAATTTAAAGATTACATAATTGAAATTAACATACTCTATTCATCCATCATTATAAGGTTCAAGTGAATATGGCATAAATACCTTTTAAAATGTATGCTTCTTATTTCTTTCATATTTCATTTCCTATATTTCTTGTATTCTCTACATTTTTACATTTTTTAAAATTCTTCTTTGAATGTTTTGTCACCCCCATTTAACAGCTTATGTACAAAGATATTTTTTTTAAATGGAACAACTGGCATCCCTTGTACTGTATGAAATCAATTAAAAATATATAGTACAACAAATGTGGTATAGTGATCAGAGTGTTTGAGTTCAGAGTTCAAATTTCCTCATTCAAGAAGCTCATGCAGTAATCTAAATTCTTACGGTTTACACTGTTGACACTCAGAACGGAGGTGACATTTGCACACTTGAGCCATTCAGTGAAAAATGTAAAATTTAATGCATATTCAACTGCCAATCTTTAAATCCGGAGCAATCAAGTAATGTAGAATCTGCTACTATTTTGCAGCTGAGTAAAGAGTGCTTTGTGTTGTGCATCAGTGTGTGTGTGGGTATGTGTGTGTGTGAATATATTTCCCCTCCTACCTTCTGTTACTGCTGTCTGCATATTATTCATCACGTGATATGCAGAGTTATTTTTCTTTTTAGTTCCATTTGGCTTTTGAATATTGCAGCAGTTTTGCATACTGACTAAGTGATGCAGACCAGTTAGGATTGTATATTATTATGGTTTGATAAAATACGAACATGGTAAGTGCAATGGGCTACAAAACCAGGATATTGTCATGAAACACTTTTGGAACAAGGGCAGTGATTTAAATCTTCTTGACCTCTGCTTTTGCTATCCCTTCCATAGAACATGTGTTTGTCTGGTAGTCTTCCAATATTTCAGTATGGCATTTTCAAGCATTGCTACATTAGTCCTTTGAAATGAAAATGCCAGGTTTTGTTACTTGAATATGTGAAAATCCATACACATATGTGACTCCTTGCATATATGTATGCATGCATACATGCACACACAGACACACAGTTTCTATTCCAGGACTTTACTTTTGGAGGAAGATGCAAAAAGCAATACCATTCTATTTAATATAAATTAATACATGAATATGCTAAACACAACCTTAAAATATGGTCAGTGGATCATTTTTATCTATTTATAAATAATAAGATTCAGATGGGCAAATGGCTTTTTAAATAGTTCACGGCCATCCAAACCATTGCCACTTTGCTTGACCTTCAAAATTTTGTCTCCTCAGTGTTGGTAATAGAATTATTGAATCCGTCTTGGTTATTTTCATAGGCCTAGTTCCATACAGATCTTGCTCTAGAAATTTCAAGGAGGGGATAAATACGATGGAAGAAAAAAAAATCAATTTAAGCCGAGAGATAACTTAAACCCTATATTTCATTATATTCCATGTATAAAACGCTTTTAAAGAAAAAGTTTCATTTTAACACACCATGATCATATTTTTAAAACACTTTTGTACATTTTCCAACTTAATATAACGTTAAAAACATTCCTCAAAGCTGTAAATCAGATTTATTCTTTGAATTAATTAAATTATATCCAGGAAACATTGTAGAAAAGAAGATTCTATGCAATGTTATCTTTTCATTAAACCCCACCCCATAACCAAATACATTTTTATATAACAGGATAGGAGGTAGATTTTTTTTCTAATTATAATAAAATTGACACTATATAAAGTATTCTTCTATAAATGATTGTTCTCTACTACATAGAGTGAAACTACTGTAGAATTCATCTATAAGTAGTAACAATAAATACCATAAAGATGAAAAATAAGTAAAGCCTGACTCAGTTCTATGTATAGGGTTTCCAATCATTTATTACTGATCAAATGGTTCAGGCAGTATCTGGTAACACCAATTACCGGTTTGAAAGTAAGAGTCAACTGTATTTAACCTTCCCTTCAAGGCAATTTGATCAAGGTTGCTTTTGCAGGAACCACATTCCATGCAGAAAATTAAAAGCAGTTATATCTTCTTCATTTCATATCAGTAAAACGTGATTTTGAGCCAGCATGCTTTATTTTTAATGCATTGTTTTAAATTACTGTAAAATATCCATCAAATCATTGGTTGAAAAGGCAGTGTATAGCTTTAAAAAATCAAATATGAAATGTTTATGTTGAAGCCTGCTTCTAACTACGCTTCATAACAAGGCTTATCCGTGGCTTAAGTGCTTCCAAATGGTTAATGCCTAGCACTACCAATCAAAAGCCATTCTGAACCTTCTTCATCTTCTCTTGATTAGATTTTCTACTATTTTTTCACAATGAAGAGGCTGCTAGGAAGCTGCACGTTATATGTAAAGGGATGTTATTGGAGCATTGCTACAGCTTTTAATAGTTAGGGGTCACTCTGAATAGGGCCCTATCATATAAGCAGTACTGTACCAATACTAAACTGAAGGTCAGTGGAAGAAATAATTTCCTCAGGAAATTAATGAGCTCTACCTAGGGTGCCAAACCAAGGGTCCTTAAGACAACAGCTTTAGCTCTTTGCTACTTGGCAGGCAGATACGCCTGCTGTCTGCTGTAAATCAGCACATGCTGAGAAAGTAGATGTTGCTCTGAATGAAGCTAGCAGAATTATTACTGGATGCCTTAAACCTATGCGTCTAAATAAGATCTACCAGCTAGCTGGCATTGCTCTGCTTGCTCTTTGCAAAGAAGCAGGAGCATACAGAGAGAGAGGCTCAAATCCACAATATCTAGGCAACACCCTCTTTATGGTCTACAACCAGCTCATCAGAGATTTAAATCCGGGAAAAGCTTCTTTAGGTTGATGGAAGATTTTGAAGAATTTGAAAGCAGAGCGGACGCATGGAAAGCTACAAACAACCAACACTGGATGGAACCAATGGAGGCGCTGGCAACTGGGTCTGGAGAAAGCTGGGAAGTATGCAAAATCATTGAATAGACCGTGTATGGGTACAAAGAAGATCCAGAGGCACTCTGAACAAATGGGACTATCTGGTGGCTTCTGACCTTTGCGGTCGTGTGACATGCAGGCAACACCACATATGTATACCCCTTTTGTGTCCTTATCAGTGTACACTTGATCTCATAGCAGTGTGACAGATCACAATTAATGTTGCTAGTTTCTGGGCAAGATTTGTTTAACTTGTATATATTTTTAACTTGTATTTTATATAGAGAGTAGGTTAGGAATAGAAATAGGATTTCAAAAAAAGGAATAGGAATAGGAGTAGAACGGAACGGCACGGAACAGAACAGAACAGAACAGAATTATGTTTTCACTTGCACACACTAAAATTCTGTGAATGAAATACAGTGATTGCACAAAAACCTGACCTGAAAAAACCCGGAGCTGGAAGCATTCTCTGTTACCTAGCATGTAGCACTTTATCTTCATTGCCACTTACATACAAGAGAAAACAGATGAACAGAAATCCTATGTGATGGATTTGACAGTCTCAATCCATATTTCTACAATCTTTGACAGACACCGAAACCTGGAAATATATTGGGCCATAATCCATGGCTGCTGAAAAGCATTCAAGCTGCTATATCAAAAACTGAAAAAAAGCTCTGAGACTGCATTTACAGTTTAAATGATAAGAAAGGTTGATCAACTGCAAATCTACAGCAGAACATCAGCGTAAAACTCAGAAGCTTCCTGAGAGAACATTGAAGCCACTGCCATTATCAACCAATCATTTTTACCTGTAAAAATTACAACCAAAAGTTGTGCATCAGAGCAGGAAACACAAGAAATGTATGTAAATTAAAAGTCACCATTTTATGATTACCAGAATACTGACATTATGAAAGGAAGCCCAGATTTAAAAACCTTCTTTGGTATAAAATTAAGAGCAGTTTGGAGTGTTAAGAATGCTTATAGATCAATGCAGGAAGTATAGCTGTGCTTATGCATATTAGAAATGTTCTCCTGAATTTCCTGTTCAAGGAAATGTATGAGACTGAAATCAAATAATGGAAATGTTACTAAGTTGAATGTCCTGTACATGCATATACAATGTCATTAACATGAAACTGAGTCCATGTACTTCTTCCTCTTCATGAAATACGAACAAAAGAAATATACTCTTATTTATGTTTCCAAAATGACTGCATTTTGCCTTGCAAAGTTGTCCGAAAGGTGCTTTTTCAGGAGGCAACTGAACTTTCTTGTTTTTTCTTTGAAGACATTTCACTTTTCATCCAAGAAGCTTCTTCAGCTCTGACAGGATAGTGGGGAATGGAAGGATTTATATTCCCACTATCCTGTCAGAGCTGAAGAAGCTTCTTGGATGAGAACAAAATGTCTTCAAAAAAAAAAAAAAAAAACCAAGAAAGTCCAGTTGCCTCCTGAAAAAGCTCCTTTGGGACAACTATGACCTGGATGACTGAGAATCTCTACAGATTCTTGCAAAGTCATGTTAATAAATATTTACATTATAAAGATTTAAATACTAGTAATTGTGATGTTTTACAAACTGTGAGCCTATACACTTGTGATCCAAATACCCATGCCTTTAAAAACAGTGTGTGTGTGTGTGTGTGTGTGTGTGTGTGTGTGTGTTTGATTTAATAATTTAGTTAAAAATTGCTATTTTTGCATCCAGGAATTGTTCTATTAATTATTTTGCCCTTCTCTTTTTCTGCTATTAAGCTTCATTCTGACTTGGACAAGGGAGTGGGAAGTGTTAAGTATACATTATCAGGAGATGGAGCTGGTACAGTATTTACCATTGATGAAACTACAGGGGACATTCATGCCATAAAGAGCCTTGATCGTGAAGAGAAGCCTTTCTACACCCTACGTGCTCAAGCAGTAGATATTGACACAAGGAAGCCATTGGAGCCTGAATCAGAGTTCATCATCAAAGTGCAGGACATTAATGATAATGAACCAAAATTCCTTGATGGGCCTTACATTGCCAGTGTCCCTGAAATGTCACCAGTAGGTAAGTAATATTTTAAAGAATTCTTATCCTCAAACATGAAGTTTGAAAGTTCATTCAATCTCTCTTCGTTTTTTCTTTTCTTTTCTTTCCTCCCCACCCCCACCCTTTTTTTTTAAAATATATGATACAAATTAAAAATTTGATGCTTGGGCAATTGTAGTTGCTGTTGACACATGAGGTACCTGCCAAATCAGTTGCTTCTGGGATAAGAAAAACTACTACTGATTTTACCTTGCATAGATACTCTGTTTTTCTGTCCTGTCATTTCCACATAAATGATTAATGAGTTCATTATGGTGGTGATAACTAGCTTTTTGTGTATAGTTGCATGCAAAAACATAGGCACCCACTTAAATTGTATATTCCCATGAATGAACTTGACTTAACAAATGTGTGTGTTTACACAGAGGTTCAAAATAAGTAGATAGGGAATGTGGGAGGTGCAGAAGTTGGACAATCTTTCAGCCAGTATTTTGTAGTTTCTTCCTTTCTGTAGCCAGCTAATAATCTTTCTACCTTGATTTTTTTCCCTTCAGTTATTCTTGCACAATTCTAACTTCAAACTGTTTGTATGCCTTCCTGCATTCGCTGAATGTTTGAGATCTCCCTTCAGAACTTTAATAACATTGTATTCTGAGGATTGTGAAGCCTGTTCCAAAACCTTTCTTTCTTTTTTTTTTGCCCTATAAATACTTCATGGTTGATTTGTAATTAGGTCTTGGATTGTTGTCTTGCTGAAATAATCAACTTTTTAACTTCAACTTTTTCACTGACTGTGGAACATTGCCGTCATGCTGACATTTAGTTGAATCTATTTCCCTTTGCATTTGCACAATATTTCTCCTACCGATGGCTGCCACATAATCTTTAAAAAATTACAGCCACCCTTGTACAATACATTTCCTCCTAAAATGTCCCATCTCTTTTTCTCCAAATATAAGTTGTGTGATTGTGGCAGCACAATTCAATTTTCCTTTATCAGTCCAAAAGAACTTTGTTCCAAAAGGTTTCAGGCTTATCATGTTTTCTTTCCACAATTGATGACTTTTCTGATAAAGCCGGATAAACATTCCATTTCTGAAAATTCCCGTGCAATCCAAGGCCCTTTGAACAACTTCTCTGCTGTCAGCTAAACTGTTTATCGAATCATTGATAGTGAATTGGCCATTCTGCTTTGCAGATTTGACTAGTTTTCAGGATATTGTAGCAGTTTTTTCTATGGTTGTTTGCTAGCTTCAGAAGTCCCATATGACTTCTATTTCTTAGTAATATTCTTCATAACTGAAATTGCTAGCTGAAGATGTTTAGAAAAGTTTTTGTGGCATTTGCATCTTTGTAAGGATGAATTATATTTATTTTCAAATATTTAGATGGTTGCTAAAAGTCCATTGTTTTGAAGTTAGCCAGAACCACAATTGTAATCTGAGAGATTAGAAAGATCAGATTTTTTTCCCCTGTGAAATTGTCGTCATTGAGCTATTTATCTTCGAGACTGCCTTCTACCGCATAGCTCCCAGAGACCAGTAAGATCCCACAGAATTGGTCTCCTCCGAGTCCCGTCAGCTAAACAATGCTGGCTGGCGGGCCCGTGGGGGAGGGCCTTCTCTGTGGCTGCCCCAGCTCTCTGGAACCAATTACCTCCTGAGATTCGGACCATCCCCACCCTATTGGCCTTCCAAAAAGCGGTGAAGACCTGGCTTTTCTGGCAGGCCTGGGGCCGTTGATCTCACTGTTGCGATCTGCCCATGAATGGTGTAAATGGGTTTTAATTGTTTTTAATGTTTTAATGTTTAATGTTTTTATATATGGTTTTTAAATGCATTGTAAGCTGCCTTGAGTCTTCGGAGAAAGGCAACATACAAGTTGAACAAATAAATAAATAAAATAAATAAATAAATAAATTTATACACCCAGTGAGTCAATTATCTTATTGATAAATTTAAAAAAGAAAAAAGTAACACTGCAGCAACAGTGTTTAAACATATTTAGTGTTCTCTTCTGAATTTATAAACAACTGTGCAAATTAGTAAATATGCATTCAAATTTGGAGGGGAAAAAAGTTGTGTTTCGCTTTGTACCATAGCAAGGTTATATCAAATTCTGTTTGTAGGAAAATATTGAACATACAATTTCACCAGGATTTTGCGTAAATGTTGTAAGCAGCTGTATATGTAATATTATTGTGGAAATGTGAGCTTGCACATTTAGCAGAAGCAAACAATTGTTACTGAACCCAGAAATTGCAAAATGAAAAATAGGGAGGCACTGCCATGTGAACCACATACCATTTAAGTAACTACATTCTAATGGTGTCCTAACTTTGGATAAACTTTAATTTAATGATAGCATTTTAAATGTACACCAACTTTATTTTGATTAATATTTATTTTGGTTACCATCAAAGATGTCATAGAATAATGGCCTGGCCTGGCCTGAATAAAAATAAAGGCCTAGATTAAGAAAAAGCATTAAAAGGTGCCAATATTCACAGTCCACATGCTACTCTTACTATCCCAGTTTGTAGTAAACAGCGTTATGGTCACATGGCCCATCTAGCATGAGGCTTACCACAAGTCTTCTTTTATTCAGAGACACTAATATCTCAGCATGCAATCTACTTTTTTCACTTCCCCAACTTCTGGATTAGTTTTCTTTTTAACCATCAAATGCAGCGTCTAATTAGACTTGACAGCAGGTGATCTGTAATCAAATATATTGCCATGTTTTAAAAACTAATGAAAGCTGGGAGCAGAGTGACTGCAATTGGAATAGGAAAGTGGGAGTATGGCATTTTCCTTGGTGTTTTATAACAATTTTAGCCTGTTCATTAAAAGTAATTGCAATTTCATCTGCATTGCTTCTATTTGTCAAAGGGTCATTTGAGTTTATGTTGTTTTTGATGGGCAAGATGAGAACCTAAATCATTTAAAGATTACGTCTACTGATTATACTTTAAAAAATGGCATATGAATTTACTGTGGTTTCCCTTTCTCTTCTGAAGAATATTACTACAACTAATACAGTTACTACTAATAATAATATGATTTTGGCATGTACAAGCCAAATATATTGGATTCCAGTCTTACCTTAACGTTTTAAATTAATCACCAAGGTTTTCTGAACGGCAGGCACATTTATTTTCCCAATATAAGATTTTGCTCTTTAGCATTTAGATTGTTTAATGTTTCCAAAATAATTGCATCTTTGTAGTATGCTAGAAGCAGAAATAAATACTTTTGTCAACTATCTATTACTATATTGAGACAGTCAAAAGGAAGAGTTTTTATTTATTAGAAATCTTGGACCAGGAGAAGGCAAACTGGTGCCTTCTCCAGATTTGTTAAATAGAATGTCGATACAGTATTTCCTTTAATTTAGTAATGCTGATAGAAGCTGATGGGAATTGAAATATAAAGTATCGGCAGGGTACAAGGTTAACTACTTCTGGTCTTTTATATTTCCTGCTTGGCATTGTATCATAACCAAATGTAAAGGGATTTCATAAAGTTGTGAAGTTCTATCTCAGCCTTTAAAAAAAAAAACTTTAACATTATGTCAGTACTGCCAAGAATTACTAGTATATCAATGGGATTTGCAATTATAAATGCAAGCATTTTGAAGAAATGACACAAACTTAGCACATCTATTTGCATCTTTTCAGTCAATAGTTTTTCAACAAGTTCTTTTTAATTTATATTTTCATAGAAGATGGTTTGAGATACAGTAGCTTCTATGTAGAGTTTTAGGGTTCTTTGCTATATTTCTAGAAAGTGTGTAAGAGATTTTTAAGACCATTTGCTAAACTTTGAAAAATTGTATGACTGTGTTACAGGAATCCCTATTACTATACCTTAATAATGTATAATTAATAATTTAATCTATAATTTATCTATAATGGCCCTACCAAACAATCCGTCAGAAAGCGAGGGTCTAACAACAGTCCAGGGTTCAGTCAGAGACACATTGGGCATATAGGCAGATCTGGATCTGATCAGTCTTTGGATCACAGGTGAAATACTACTGGTTTGGGGCGGTTCTCCCGAACTGGTAGTAAAAAAATGCTTTGAAAAGTTAAAAAAATAGTTCCCATGATCACGCAGCACAGCTGATCATCTGAACTTTTTTTTTAACTTTTTTAAAACATTTTTTTATTACCAGTTCAGGCAATAGGTAGTATAAAAATGCTTTAAAAAGAAAAAAAAAAGGTTCCAACAATCAACTGTGACAATCAGTTGTGCCACCCGATCCTGGAACTTTTTTTTTACTATTTAAAGCTTTTTTTTTACTACCTATTGCCCGAACCAGTATTTTTGTGTAAAGTGTGATAGTTTGTTTTTGACCTCTCTGTGACTCTGTGAGATTACCTGCTTGTTGCAGGGGCCATTTTGTCCAGCTGCTTTTGCATTGTGTGTGAGTTAGTTGTGTAGCTATTGTGTTATTTTTGTGTAAAATGTGATAGTTGGTTTTCCCAGTCTCATGATCACCAAGCTACGCCCACCAAGCCACGCCCACAGAACTGGTAGGGAAAATTTTTGAATTTCACCACTGCTTTGGATGATATCATTATCTGAGATGCCATAGGTGATGTTTTGAGTTCTAAGGAAAGAAAAATCTACTAAAAATTATAATGTTTCCAAGATGAGGGGAAGTGTTGTTAAATTTGAATTTGATGAACATTCCTTAATGTTGCCTGAACCAAATGCAATTTGAATGAAATCATTTATCACCAATGAAGGCAAATATATGTATCCCAGGATCATGTTGCAGGATCCAATCTGGGTCGGTCATAGGTACCAGAGGTTTAGTTTTCTGAACTTTTGGATTCGTGCTGGAGCCCAGCCTCGGGGATGGGCTGAGGATGGGCTCCACCATGAACTGAAAGCTCAGAAGACTAAACTTTTGGTTATAGTACCAATCCAGATTGGATCCTGAAAGCATTTCTTTTTATGTACCATGTTCATTTAGATACTGTACAGCTTCATTTCTTTTTGCTCCCTGAA